AAAAAAAAAAAAAAAGTGGACAAAAATTAAAAAAAAAAAATTGTGTGGAAAAAAATCAAACAGACGTATTCAGGGAATACGTTTTTTTATATAAAACCGTATTTCGCGAATACGTTTTTCCATTTCGAACGTATTTCACGAATACATTTTATTAAAACAACGTAATTAAGATAATTAATCTTAATTAACATAAACAAAAATGTATTGAGGAAATACGTTTTTCTCTATAAACGTATAATCAGAATACGTTTTCCGTTAAAACGTATGTTGTGAATACGTTTTTGTGTTAAAATTTATTTTTGAATTTTGAAAAATATTTTTTTGTTAATTTTAATTTTCTGAAAATATTAAACGTATTTTTAAAATACATTTTTAAGTTAAAAAAAAAATTCTTTATAAAACGTATTACGCGAATACGTTTTTGGTTAAAAAAAATAATAATAATATAAACCTATTCAATCAACCAACCTGTCCAATATAAAATACAACTGTTCAATCAACTCATATATATCAATTCGGCAAAAAAATAATTCGACATACATTATATCAAAAACAATCAACCACAATGCAATATTCAAAAAACACAATATAAAACGTAAAAGGTCAAAATACGGTTTTTAAATACAAAACAAATATGTCTGCAAAGTTCAAACTACAAAATACACAAACTAACTAGGAAGGAGTATATGTATCCGGAGGTCTACGCTGTTGGGACCCCTTCCTAGGAGGCCTTTGTCCTGAAGAAGACGAGGATGCGGTCGTGATAGGTGAGGCAGCTTCTTCTTCTTGATCTGAGTAATTAATTTTTTAAACAAATTAGAAATTCGACTGAACGAAAAATAAAAAACAAAACAAAATAAAAATATAAACACTTTTTCATGAAAAAAATTATCACCTTCTTCGTCGTCCTCATACGCAGTGTTGGCAGGGGGTTCACGGGCGGCAGCGGGTTCACGGGCACGCCGTCTTCGACCTCCACCAATGTTGTCAGACGGTCGATGCCTCGCCCGATATGACTGTGTGGCCTGGGAAGGGACGTAGTCTTCTTGAGATAGAAGTTGAGTAGACGACGCCCCTTGTATGA